AGAGAGAGAGAGAGAGAGAGAGAGAGAGAGAGAGAGAGAAAGAGAAGAAGAGAGGAAGAGGAAGAGGAGACAGGACACAGTACTTGGAGGCCAGATCCAGAGGCCATGTTTTGGAAAGAGTTTGTTCTTTTCATTCATTATTTGTTTGTGTTCTGGGGATAGGAATCAAGTTGACAGGGTTTCGTGGTCAACTTGCCAGCCCCTTATTAAAATTTCTGATGAAAGTTCACCAAGATTTTTGGAATATGTCCCCGAAGGAGTTCTTAGTCTTGGGTGACCTGCCCTAGTTATTCCCATTATTTAGCAGAAGGATTCTAGTGTTGTTAGAATGGGAAAAAGTCATGAATCTCGCTGAGTCATGTTGTGTTGTGGGAATCACAGTAATCTCATACAGGAGAGAAGCTTCATCTGTTGGTTTATAGGAGACTCCCGATAAATTTTTCCCGGTTGTGTTTAGGGTTTTATTCAAAATCAGAATACTGTTGCAAGAGAATGCATGAGACTGGGGATGATTATCTCAAGGGAGCTAATCCAGATCAGACAGACAAATAATGCATGTTTTCTCTCCTGTGCAGACCCTAGATTTTAATCTGTGTGTGTGTGTGTGTGTGTGTGTGTGTGTGTGTGTGAGAGAGAGAGAGAGAGAGAGAGAGAGAGAGAGAGAGAGAGAGATAAAACTAGAGAGGGGACCATGAAAAGGGAAAAGGAAAAAGAGGAGAGAAAAAAACCTAATGTAATGGTTTACATGTGACATGAAAGGAGGGGACATTTCGGGGAGGGGAGGCAGGGGATGGAGGGAAGAGGACAATTGGAGAGAAGAGAGTGTGCCAGACATCGCTGGGCTGCAGAGGTGGCTCAGCGTCTGACCGCACTTACTAGCTGGCAGAGGACCTTTGTTTGGATTCCAGCACCCACATGGTGGCTCAAACTGTCCTCAACTCCAGTTCCCTTTTCTAGCCTCTGGGGGCACCAGGCATGCTTGTCACATTCATACATGCAGACAAAATGCTCGTACACATAAAATAACTCTCAGGGGAAAAAGTTTTTTTTTGTTTTTTTTAAATGCCATAATGAAACCCATTGCTTTGGACACTCATTTAAAAATAAATAAATAAAAAGCCAGGCATGGTGGCACACACCTTTAATCATAGCACTTGGGAGGCAAAGGCAGGTGGATTTCTGTGAGTTTGAGGCCAACCTGTCTACATAGTGAGGGTATGAGAATATGTAGGACTACACAGAGAGCCTGTCTCATAAAAAAAGAAAAGAAAAGAAAATTTAAAAGACAGCTGTAATATTAGCCTGCCATGGTCATGACCAGTCCAAGCACTCAGTAGGTAGAGCCAGGTTTGACACAACTTTGAGATCAGCCTGATCTGTTTAATGAATTCCAGGCCAGGCTGACTTCAGGGTGAAACACTCAAAAACTGAGAGATGGCTGGGCATGGTGGCACACACCGTTAATCCCAGCACTCAGGAGGCAGAGACAAGCAGATTTCCGAGTTCGAGGCCAGCCTGGTCTACAGAGAGAGTTCAGGACAGTTAAGGCTGTTACACAGAGAAACTGAGTCTTGAAAACACAGACACACACCGAAAAAGGTTGAGAGAAGGGGTCTGGAGAGATGTCTTAGAGGTTAAGATTAAATACTGCTCTTGCAAAAGACCTCAGTTCAGCTCCCCGCACTCACACTGGGTGCTTCACAACTGCCTGTCAGCCTGCTTCCAGGGAGATCCAATAGCCCTGGCCTCTTGAGGCACCTACCCACACATGTACACATAATTAAAAATAATAAAAATAAATCTTAAAAAAAAAAAAAAAGCCAGAAAAGGGCTGTTGAGATGGCTCGGTGGGTAAAGGTGCTTTACAACAAAGCCTGATGCCCTGAGTTTGATCCCCAGGACCCACGTGGTAGACAGAACCGACTACTGCATGGGTTGTCCCTGACCTGCATGTGTGCGGTCACTCACACACATAAATAAAGGGATTGAGAAACAACAACAAAACCTACATAGGAGGTGTGAGAGGAAATGACTTGAGATGTGCTTTGCTTCCCCTTAAGGCTTATTTTTCACGTGCAGGTGCCCTCGGAGGCTAGAGGTGTCAGATCCCCTGGAACAGGGGTTACAGGTGGTTGCTGTCATCTGAGGAAAGTAATTTTTTAAAGACCTCTGTTCTGGCAGGACCTGATTGAGTGCACCTGTAACCCCAGCACTGGGGAAGATTGGGAGGATCAGGAGTTCAAGGTCTGCCTCAGCTACCTGTGAGCTAAGGGCCAGTCTGAGCTATGTGAGACCCTATCTTCTGTTTTATTTTGGTTTTTGTTGTTGCTGTAAAATAGCGATAAAGAGCACTGTTCTAGAGGACTCTAGCTGTGACATCACAGACTTAGGAAGAAAGAGAATAGTGATGGGAAAAGAATGGAAAGTCCCAGTATGTGGCTGCAGTAGCTATAGTGATAGATGTTTGGAAGAGATGGTGTCCCCAAACCTTCTCTTCAATTGCAAGTACTGTCAAAGCAACTTGACCTTTCCCCCTACATCTGGAAACCATGGGCTCCTTGTTTCTCTAGCTGGCCAATTGCTTTCTTGAAATTTTTTGTATCTTTTTTCTTGTCCTTGGCCTCATTTCACGTCCCCAGATCTGCCTTCTCTCCTTTTCCTGTGAAGCTGCCAGGGCCTTTGGGAGGCCACTGAAGCAGAAGCAGAGAAAGGAAGTGACATCCCCTCAGCCACTTGCCGTCCCCACGCATGTTCTTGCTGCTTGGCTGCCTCTTCGCTTTAATCGCATCACCTGCCTGACTGCCCAGCTCTGAGCAGTGTGTGTGGCCCTGGCCAGGATGTGGGCGTTCCTCTCTGCCTTTCTGCACAGTACCATAGATAGATTGCTTTGCTGGGGAAGGGGGCTGTAAACTCCAAGAGACCTGAGGGTGACGTGACAGCCTGCTGAGAGCCAGATGCCAGTGCTAGGGGACTCAGCACTGCTGCTTCTGCAGGGCCCTTTACTGTCTCCCTTTGGGTGCTAATGAAGACGCCCACTGAGCACAGTATTGCTTTGTAACCCAAGTGGCGGCGAACTCAGGGCCATCCCTCAGCCTCCCTAGGGTAGGATTACAGTCTGTTTGCTACCAGGTCTAGCTTCTTGCTAAGATTTTTATCTGCCGTAAGAAAGTAGACAACTGAAGTAAGGAAACGGGGTGGAGATGGCTCGGTGGTTGAGGGCATTTACTGCTCTTCCAGAGGAGTGGACGGAGTTCTGTTCCCAGCATTCACATCAGGCTCACAGCCACCTGTAATTCTAGCTCCAGGGAAATCTGATGTCTCTGGCCTCTGTGGGTACCTGCACTTAAGTGTACACACAGGCACACACATATACATGTAAATAACAATTAAGAAAACAGAAATAATTTAGATAGGACTGGGATATCGCTCTGCCATAGAGCACTTGCCTAGCATGGATGAGGCCCCAGGTTCATTTTCTAGCACTGCAGGGAGGAAGGGCAGTTTGGGGTGGTAGAAGAAGTTAGAGATCGGTTGATAAGTGCATGGTGAGCATGCTTGAAGACCTGAGTTCGATCCCTAGAAGACAGGTTAAAAAGCTGGCATGGTGGCGTGCATGAGCTTATAATGGTGTAATGATTTTTTTTTTTAATGTGTGGGTCTTGCCTTTGTATATAAATGTGTGTACCACTTGTGTGCCTGGTGCGTGAGGAGGCCAGAAGAGGGCCTCAGATCCTCTAGAACTGCACTTACAGACAGTTATGAGTTGCAATGTAGGTGCTGGAAATGAAACTTGGATCCTCTAGAAGAGCAGCCAGGACTCGTAACTGCTGAGGCATTCCTCTGGCTGCTATTTTTAATTAAAGAAAAGAAATCTTTATTTTGTGTGAATGTTTTGCCTGCATGTATGTATATGTGCCAACATGTGCATCTGGTACCCATGGGGGCCAGAAGAGGATGCCAGATGCCCTGGAACTGGAGTGAGGGATGGCTATAAGATGCTAAGTGGGTGTTAGAAACTAAACCTGTCTTCTTAATTGCAGCCATCTTTCTGTCTTCTGCTTTATTTTATATTTTAGCTAATATACACTGGTTTCATTATGGATTTGTTTGTTTGTTTGTTTTTTGAGACAGGGTTTCTCTATGTAGGCCTGAATGTCCTGGAACTCACTTTGTAGAACAGGCTGGCCCTGAACTCACAGAGATCCACCTGGCTCTGCCTCCCGAGTGCTGGGACTAAAGGCATGCATGCCACTGCCTGGCTTGCATCTGGCTTTAAAAAAAAAAAAGATTGATTTGTCCTTTATGTGTGTGTGTGGGTGCTTGAGTGTATGTACAGTACGCCATGTGTCTACAAGTGTCTGCAGAGACCAGAGAGCACCTGATCATCTGGATCGAGAGTTACAGGCAGTTGTGAGCCACCTGATTTCAGTGCTGGGTGCTACACCAGATCCTAGGGACTGAACCCGTGTCTTCTGGAAGAGCAACAAGTGCTCTCAACACTGAGCCATCTCTCTTGCCCCACACCCGGCTTTTTACCTGGGCTCCAAGTAGTCCGACTCAGGCCCCTGTGTGTGCAAGGCAAGCACGTTACCGTTATCTCCAGCCCCCTCGAGGTTTTTCTTTCTCACTTGGCTTCATCTGATTGTGAGCCTCATTTTTGCATCTTATATGAAAGTCACTGGCACGAGGGAGCATTAGAGGCTGCTGGTGTATGTTATCCATCTAAAAAGAGCAATTCTTTCTTTGGCTAGGTCACTAAGACACCTAAGCATCTTCAGGACAGCAAAGAGAGCAGACAGGCTCTGCTGCAAGCCAGGCATGTCATGGTGAGTGTCGGTGAGCGTCGGGTGAGCCGATACCACTGGGGGCCTTGTCAGGATAAAAATGGAGGGTCCTGGGTGGTTAGTAGATGGCGACACATAGCCGTAGCAGTGAAGGGCCATCCCAAACCTTTGTCCAGATCTTTGAATTGGGGTGTGGGGGCCTGGCTTTTCCCAGCAGTGTCCCTTCATCTTGCTTAATGACTGCATTTGGTCTAGCCTTGCCGTCTTGTCTTCTACAGCAGTCATGGGTGCTGGTCTCTAGAGAGCTGATCTCCCTGCTCCACCTGTCCCTGGCACACATGGACGAAGACAGAATGACAGTGAGTCAGGAGGTGAGCATCGCCAAGGTGACCGTAAGCCCGGAAGAAGGCCCAAGACATAGCATCTCATTCTTCTTTTGTAGTCTCAGCATGCAGAAACCGTGGTTTCCTCCTGTTCTCGTGTGCTGAAGAAACTGAGGGCAAAGCTCCAGAGCCTCCAAACAGAAAGGGAGGAGGCAAGGCACAAAGAGGAAATGGCCCTTAAAGGCAAAGCTGCGGTAAGGTGTTCCTGGATGCAGGACTCCACTCCAAGGTTCTGTAGCAATGACTGGAATCGTAGAACTGCCTGGCCTGGGGAATTAAGAGCTACTGGGGGGGTGGGCAGTGGTGGCGCACATCTTTAATCCCAGCACTTGGGAGGCAGAGACAGGGGCATCTCTGTGAGTTCGAGGACAGCCTGGTCTACAGAGCAACCCTGTCTCGAAAAACCAAACAAGTAAAAATAAAAATAAGAGCTACTGAGGTCTCTCTGGTTCTGGCCTTCTGTGCTGTTTTCTTTTTACACACCAAGTCCTTGCAACCTTTTCCCTACACAGGCAGAGGCAGTGCTGGAGGCTTTCCGAGCACATGCCAGCCAGCGCATCAGCCAACTGGAACAGGAGTTGACATCTATGCAGGAGTTCAGAGGCCTTCTGCAGAAGGCCCAGACCCAACTGGTAATTGTCTTTTCCTTTTTTGAGACAGGCTCTCACTGTATAGTTGAGATACTTTGTTATGTAGCCCAGGCTGGCATTGAACTCACAGAGGTCTGCCTATCTCTGCCTCCTGAGCACTGGGATTTAAGGTATGTGCCACCACTCCTGACTCAACTGGTAATCTAAGGGCATTTTTGTTCTTGGGGCTCCCGACACTGACAAGATGGTCTCATACTCCCACTTAGCTGCCCCCGTGATGATTCCCTTCCAGATAGAACTTCACACAGAGCAAGAGGCGCTGGCTCAGCAGACAGTGAGTCTGACGTCTGCCTTGCAGCAGGACTGGACAGCAATCCAACTGGATGTGAGTATGTGGGGCCATCACAGCCACTCCCTTGGAGGCAGTTTCCTGTCCTTGAGTGTGCGCCACTGATCCCGTTATTTTGTAGTATGGGACATGGGCAGCTTTGCTGAGTCGGTCTCGAGAACTCACAGAGAAACTCACAACCAAGAGCCGCCAGGCCCTTCAGGAACGCGATGCTGCGGTCAAGGAAAAGAAGCAGGTAACCTGGAGTGGGGGCTGCTTAGGCCTGCTGTCACTGCTTGGCTCTGAGGTGTCCCCTTTGAGCCCAGCACGTCCACTTCAGTCATTTGTCTTGTCTCTGCTTGTTCCTGGGGATCAGCTTCATTTTTGCAGCGTTGCTGTTCTGGAAGTTTGCACTCTTATCCGTAAGGAAAAGCTGCAGTGAGTCCTGGAGTTCTTGACTCAGGAGGAACTGGTGGAAGGAAACTGTCTTTTCTAGGTTTCAAAGAAACTTGAACAAGTCTCTGCCCATTTAGAGGACTGTAAAGGCCGGATAGAACAATTGGAGCTGGAAAACAGTCACCTTACCACAGGTGCGTGTGCGAGTGTGAACACGCGCATGTGTGCAGGTGCATAAACAGTTGACCTGCTTGTCATGTGGCAGAAGAGTAAGGAGGTGTTCTGGAGCACTTGATTAGGGACAGAACTGTGTGTGTGTGTGTGTGTGTGTGTGTGTGTGTGGTGGCGGTGGTGGTAGGGCCCTGACTTAGGACTACCATGGTGTCATTAGGGTACTTTTGTTCTAGAGCTCGAGGCTAAGCTGCAGATTCTGACCAGCACAGACAGACAGCTAAAAGAGCTGCAGAGTCAGCACGCCCATTGTGTCCAGGACCTGGCCACGAAGGATGAGCTGCTGTGTCAACTTACCCAGAGCAACCGGGAGCAGGCTGCTCAGTGAGTTCTGGAAGGTTATTAGGGCAAGGGACCCAGCACGAATGGGCTCTCAGAGGTGGTCTGTTGCAGATGGCAGAGGGAAGAGGCGGAGCTGAGGCACACGCAAGCAGAGCTGCAGCGTCAGAAGGCTGTGCTGGCCAAGGAGGTCCAGGATCTGAAGGAGACCCTGGAGGTGAGGAGACCCTGGAGGGGAGGAGACCCTGGAGGTGAGCAGTTCAGCTGGGAGCAAGGGGTGGGGAAACCTCTGGACTGCGACTCTCGCTTGCTAGGCTTGAGGGGAGTTGGAGGCTGGACTGGAGAAAGCCTCTGTCCCAAGCTCTAAAGTCACTTCCTCTCCCTTCTTCTTTCCATCCCTCCCTCTCCTTCCTTCCTTTCTTCCTTCCTTTCTTCCTTCCTTCCTTCCTTCCTTCCTTCCTTCCTTCCTTCCTTCCTCCCTCCCTTCCAACCCTCCCTCTCCCTCCTTCCTTCCATCCCTCCCTCTCCTTCCCTCCTTCTCCCACCTTTCCAGTTTGCAGACCAAGAGAGTCAGGTTGCTCACCTGGAGCTGGGCCAGATCGAGTGCCAGCTGAAAGCCACCCTGGAAGTGCTGCGGGAGCGCAGCCTTCAGTGCGAGAACCAAAAGGACACCGTGGAGAACCTCAAGTAAGAACCTGCTGCCCTTTGTGTTCCTACAGTGCCGCCTTTCCCCAGCAACCCTTCCAGAAGCTGAGGTCTCCCTAAGAGAACCATGGGGGTGTTGAGTTTCTCTCTCTCCTAGAAAAAGGGGATCTGGGAGAAGTGTGCAGAGTCAGTGTCTGGTCTTTGCTAACCTTTGGGGTTCTGAATTTCAGGGCGGAGCTGGCCAGCACTGTAGCAAAGCATGAGAAAGAGAGCCTGGAGAAGACATACCAGCATTCTCAAGAGCTGAGGCTGCTGACGGAGCAGCTGCAGAGCCTCGCCCTCTTCTTACAGGCAAAACTGAAGGAGAACAGGGTAGGACGGGGGTTTCCTTCCCATCCCATTGTATCTTTGGCTCTGTTCTTTGTCATTTTCCGTTCTCAGTATTGAACTTGGGGCCTCACACATATCAGGACAGCTCTCTACCACTGAGCCTTATTCCTATTCTCCAGTTCACCAGTTGCATCTTTCTTATATAGAATAGGCTTTTTAAAAAAAGATTGTTATATTTTATTTATGATTATGTGTGTGTGTGTCTAGGTGAGTGTGTGCTACATGTGTGCAGGTGCCTGTGGAGGCCAGAAGAGGGCGTTGGATCCCCTGGAACTGGAGTTACCGGCTATTGTGAAATGCCCGTGTGGGTGCTGGGAACTGAACTAGGGTCCTCTAGGGGAACAGAAAGCGTTCATTTTGTTTGTTAGTTTTTTTAGAGACAGGGTTTCTCTGTGCAGCCCTGACTGTCCAGAAACTCACTCTGTGGACCAGGTTGGCTTTGAGCTCACAGAGATCCATCTGCCTCTGCCTCCCAAGTGCTGGGATTAAAAGTGCCACCACTGCCTGGCTATCAGACTTCTTCAAAACCCCACTCTTTCATCATTCTGTGACCATCAGTGGTTTTAAGTTACCTTCAGGACCTCTTTAGCCTGTCACGCATACCTTCTTCTGCCTTCCAGTTAGAAGTCTCTCACTCCAGTTAGGCTGCTTGTACAGCACACACATCTCATTTCCATTCACATCTTGCCTCCAGACGGTTCCATATCCATATCCATTCTCTTCTGTTTTCCATTGGAAATCCTTTCTTTCTTTTTTTTTTTTTCCGAGACAGGGTTTCTCTGTGTAGCTTTGCGCCTTTCCTGGAGCTCACTTGGTAGCCCAGGCTGGCCTCGAACTCACAGAGATCCGCCTGGCTCTGCCTCCCGAGTGCTGGGATTAAAGGCGTGCGCCACCAACGCCCGGCAGGAAATCCTTTCTTTTTTCTGTGAAAATCCTCTGTGGTTTCTTCCTGTGTTTCTGACATACTTGCTCTCCTTAGGCACTTGTATTAATTTTCTTTGGTTATTAAAGAAATTTAGCCGGGCAGTGGTAGTGCATGCCTTTAATCCCAGTTCTCTGGGAGGCAGAGGCAGGTGAATCTCTGAGTTCAAGGCAAGCCTGGTCTACAGAGTGAGTTCCAGGACAGCTAGTACTATACAGAGAAATCCTGTCTTGAAAAAACAGAGAGAGAGAGAGAGAGAGAGAGTGAGTTTTTTAGCCTTGCCTTTTTGGCTTCTCCACTGTATGTGCGAAACAATAAGTGGTTGATATTATTCAGTATTTAGAATTAATTAGTTTATTCAACAGTTAGAGATACAACCAAGATCCTCTTCTCCAACTGGGTAGGAGCTGAACACATAAAATGCTAAAAGTTCTGTAGTGAACTTCAGGGAAGATGGATATAAGGTTGTCATTGTGACTTATGACTAGGATCTGTGTGCGCTATTGTGGAAACTTGAAAGGAGGGTCATTTTATCTTTTGAGAGTTTAGGATACCTTCTCAAAGCAAGTATCTGACCTTGGCAGTCCATGTTTAGAAGTTTATAGGGAAGGGTAGGCATTCAAGAAAGCCCACCAGCCAGAGGAAACATGAAAATTATATATAGAAAGTTATACACAGCCAGGTGGTAGTGGCACATGCCTTTAATCCAGGGCTACATGGAGAGACCCTGCCTCAAAAACACAACAAATAAGTAAATACATACATAAAAATCAATTGATGAGCTGGGCAGTGCTGGCACATGCCTTTAATCTCAGCACTCAGGAGTCAGAGGCAGGCGGATCTCTGTGAGTTCAAGCCTGGTCTAGAAAGAGTTCCAGGACAGCCAGAGCTATTACACAGAGAAACCCTGTCTTGAAAAAAATAAAACAGTATTTATATATATATAATTATATATATATATATATATAATTATATATATATATATATATATATATATAATTATATATATTATATAAAGAAAAACAAACAAAACCCAAAACAAAAAGATTCCTGACATCAACTTTAGGTGTGCGCACACACACATGTGAAGAGACAGACATTCATATACACATGTATGCACACCGCACATGCACACATCAAAAGAAGGAAGAAGAAAACTACAGGATTTAGAATAAGTAACTGAACTTGGTGACTGACGTAGAAGCAGAAGAGTGACTGATGATGATAAAATGACTAGAAAGTGACACTGTCTAGGACTGGGCCGGCATACTTTTCTCATGTGGGGACCAGTCACAAGTGTTTCAGCTCTGTGGACCATCTGGCTTCACCTTGCCGCTCAAGAGTAGCCACTGACAGAACTGAAGGGAGTGCATGTGGCCTGTGTCCTGAAACATTGCAAGACTGGTTGGCAAGCTACAGTCTGCTGCCTGTTAGGAGCTAGAACAGCAAATACTGAACTAGGCACAGATTTTTGAGAGTGAAACAGAGAAAATGGTGAACTTAAGCTTTATACACACTAGTTTTTAATGTAGAACATTCTGGGAGGTTCATAAGTGGTTTTCTTTGGGCCTGGAGACTGGGAAAAAGTCCAGTTGAGTGAAAGGGATTGAAGAGTCATTCATGTGGAAATGATGGTGGAGTGCAAGTGTTTGTAGAGTTCTTGAAGCCAAGCACTCGGGCTGGAATAGAGTCAAAAGGGACTGAACCCCAGGCAGGCAGGCTTGTGAAGTCCAAGAGTTAAGGAAAGACCTGTGAGTTGAGAAAAGAAGCATCTCTAAAGCCTGTCCATGAAGGAAGGTCATAATCCAAGGTCATGATCCAGAAGAAAAAGTTTCCAAAGTGCCTGATCATCATTATCAAACAGGCCCAGTAAGTAAGAGCTGGGAAGTACCTGTTTTTGAAAGTAAAGGATGTCAGGCTGGAGAGATGGTAAAGAACACATATTGTTCTTGCAGAGGACCTGAGTTCAATTCCAAGTACCCCTCTGTCCTCACTCATGCAGACAGATACACATATACCTAAATAAATAATAACAAAAATAATTAAAAAAAAAAAAAAAAAGAATTTTGACTGCTGAGTCACCGGCAGTGAGAATCTCAGGTAAGAATTATAGGCAGGCCTTCCTTCTCCCCCTTCCCCCCATTAAATTTAAGAGAGAAGACAGTAGTAGCTAAAAGACTTAAGGTTTTGTTTTTCATTTTAAATGACTGTGGTTTTAGTGGGAGAAACTTAAGCACGTGAGCGTGTTCGGGGAAAGGCATTAGTGGGAAGCTGGAGGTGGGACCGGAAGGTAGAGTGGAAGCTCATTCTGGAAGGGTAGGAGCATCTCGGAGCTCAGGAATCGCTCTGAGTACAGCCGGACAGCTGACGGATGTGTTTTCTCTCCTTTGTCCTTAGGCTGAACCAGAGATCGTTCTGCCCAGCACAGGCTGCGCTCCAGCCCAGGAACACCCTCTGCCCGCTGATAGCACCGTGTCGGAAAACACCCTGACAGTGGTGGCAGATGAAGGTTAAAGGCCCTGGGATTTAAGGGAGGGGAATGTGACCGCTCCTCATGTCACCTGGCACTGGTGCACACCACTGGACATGTCTGTCTTACCTGCTTCCCCTGCAGCAGTCCCCCGGGTGGGTCACCAGAGAGACCCTCTCTATGCTTGGGTTTTTTATGTTGTTGTTTTTAGAGACAGTCTCATGTAGCTCAGGATGGCCTTGAATTTCTAGGTACCTGAACGTACCTGGTTTATTTTTGTTTTAGAACCAGAACCGGTTCCCATACCGTTGCTTGGAAGTGGCGAGAGTGCTTTCACCCGAGTAGCATCAACCACTTCCCTTCGGCCTGCAGGTTAGGACGGGCTCCAGGGACCATGCCTTATCTCTCGAGGATCTGGTGGTGATGAGCAAAGACAAAGCCGAGAGAAGTGCTTTGCTCTAAAAACCTCAATTCTGCTCGGGCTTGTTTTATTTCTGCCTTTTGGGATCTCTAATGTTCTGGATAGTGAACCCTTGTGGGTGGGGAGCATAAAGTTGTGGAGACAGTGCTTGTATACCCCGTCCTAGGCAGAAGGGCTGTACCTCTATCTAGGACTTTCTCTTTCAGAGACCCCGGACCTGGAGAAGAGCCGGGCAGAAGTGAGTACCGTGCTGCTGGAGCTTCAGAGGCTGTGTTCTCTGCTCCAGGAGTCTAAAGAAGAAGCCGTTGAGGCCCTGCAGAGGCAAATGTGAGTGGTGTTAATGATCGGGGTGATGAGACAGCCCCTCAGGCCACGGGCAGAGGACAGGAAAGATGCCGACTTCTTCCCTCCCACAGCTGTGACCTGCAGACTAGACTACAGGACCAAGAAGAAGAGCACCAGGAAGCCCAGAAGGCAAAGGAAGCAGACGTGGAGAAGCTGAACCAGGCCCTGTGCTTGTGCTACAAGGTGAAGGAGGGACCTGAAAGTGGGGCGACGAGGAACTGGGGCGGCTCCACCGGCCCCCTGGGAGCCACTCTCTAGGAATCTAGGTAGTGGGGGGTTTCCAACTGCTGCCCTAGTTCTGCCCTTTTGGGGTCAGACATTTGATATCTGAGACTTAGCTCTGGGCTGACCTGTCACGTTCAAGCAGACCCAGGAGAGAAGCCTCTAACTGAAGCAGAGCTCTGAGACCAAGATGTGCCATGCTTGACTTGGCCCTGAAGAAGAAGTGGACTGATACGAGCTAGTCCCCAGGGCTGAGCACAGCTCATTCTGTCCTGCCTTCTGGAAAGAGCCGAAAAATAAGTTAGCTTTCCTCAGTGTTTTCTCTCCTGTTTTTTCTTCACAGAACGAAAAGGAGCTCCAGGAAGTGATACAGAAGCAGAATGAGAAGCTTCTCGGGCAGATAGACAGGAATGGCGAACTCATAGTATGTTTGGTCCTCGTGATGTTGTGCTGGGGCCTCTGCTTCTCCCACCTGATGGGGTAGGGGAAGGAAGGACCCCAGAGTGCTGTTGGATTACCTCTGCTCTTGTTCCCAGAGTCTCAGGGAGGAGGTGACCCAGCTCACACGTTTACTGCGGCATGCGGAGACAGAGACCAAAGTGCTCCAGGAAGCCCTGGAAGGCCAGCTAGATCCCAGCTGTCAGCTGATGGCTACTGAGTGGATCCAGGAAAAAGTGTCTCTCTCACAGGAGGTGACTCAGAGTTAAAGGATCTGGGCACCCAATGGGGACCCCAGGCTGTGCCCCTATTAATGTGGACATATTTCTAGGTGGACAAGCTGAGGGTCATGTGCCTGGAGTTGAAAAATGAGAAAGCGAAACTGGTGGTCAAGTACCAGAGCCATGTAAGGAACCGTTTTCTCCCATCGCCAGCAAGCGCCCTGCTGGACTGCCTGTGCCCTCTCTAGCTGTGGTCTTTAAGTAGGGTTTATGAAGCCTGTTTGCATTTTAGAGGAACATTCTCGAGGAGAACCTTCGGCGCTCTGACACGGAGCTAAAGAAGCTCGATGACACCATTCAGCAGATCTACGAGGTACAGTGAGGGAGGTCCCAGGACCTGGCTGCAGGAGTCCTGAGGAGCACAGCTCTGGTTCTCAGCCTGGCTGGGAGCTAGGCCTGACTCCTTCCAGTGGCTTTCTCCGCTCCAGCCTCCCGGGCCAGGAGCTTTGGCTTCAGTCTTGTGATTCAGAGCTGCTTCCTCTGCCTGTCCCCAGACTCTGCTGTCTGTCCCAGAGGTAGTGAAGAATTGCAAGGAGCTACAAGGATTGCTGGAGTTTCTGAGCTAACAGAAGGAAGATGGTGGCCTAGTGCTGTGCACCTGTAGTTCCAGCTGCTCCCGAGGCCGAGGCAGGAAGATCGCTCACTCCCAGGAGTTTGAGACCAGTGTGGGCAATACGGCAAAGAAACTGAAAGCTGGATTCTGCTTCATTCCTTTCTCCTGCAGGGTCCCTTACCCTGGTACTAGAACCAATTGGCATAGAAACAACTGTGTTTTATGGTATTTAAATAAAGCATATTTAATGTAGTCCTCGAGTCCACTGGATCTTATGTTTGGGGTAGGGATGGAGAGATGCAGTCAGTCAGCTCGGCCCTCCAGCCTGGGCACCTTCACACCCCACACCACCTCCCGTTGCAGCCAGAGCCAGGGCTGTCTGTTTTTCTTTGCTTGATTCTCTTGCTTCCACAAATAATGGCAGTGGACTGCCTGTTCCCTGGATCACTGCCTGGGGGGAACAGAAAAGACTCCATTCATTTACTTTCTCCAATCCCCAGGGGGTAGGCACTGGTAAATGTGGGGCAGAGAACAGGAACTCAATTTCATTAGTCCAGGCCTTGAACTGGGGCACCCCGTTAGGTGGGCCTCTGTCCCACCTCCCACCTGCGGATTGTTTAGATGTCTCTTCTCTATACCGGGATTAATCCCCAACATTCAGCATAATGCCTTTCACAGCAAAAGATGGATCCGTGGCAGAGACAAACACAGGCCATCTCCTTTCTCTAGGGTTCTGGTGGCAGGCTCCATGATGTGGGAGGAGCATGGTCTTTACAACCTTGGGGACCCTGGCGAGGAGTCACTCCACCTCACTGCTCCGCCTCTGAGGGCGTGGCCTTACCCCAGACCAGTCCTGGGGAGAGGGCGGGACTAGCACGGGGAGGTGTCTGCCCCGCCCCCAGGGAGTCACGTAGCTCTGCGGCATCCGCCGCCTTATTTACTCCAGCTTGGCCTGAGCTCCTCCTGTCTGTTGCTAACCAGACCCGAAGTGAGCTGTCTGTACCTGTGGCTCTTGCTGCTGACTGGTCCAGGTAAGGGCACCAGGCAAAGCGGAGATGCTCAGCATCCCTGTTTCCGTTCCTTGGCTCTTCCCCTGCTGTCCTTGCTCTGCTCCCTGGGTCCCTGGTGTACCTTTTCAACCCTAGCCTCGCATCCTCTGCTTTCTGTGTGCTTGAAACCCCCATGGCTCAGGAAAACCTTGCTTCCCCGCTTCCTCCTAGCAACTCAGCTTTTCGAGTTCCAAGTCTTACTCAGCCTCCAGGACTTTTTCACTGGGCTAGCCTCTCCCACCCAGGGCATTTTAATCTCAGTTCATTTCTGCTCCTTCTAGGTGGTCCCCAGGTCTAGGCTACAGGCCCAGGAAGAGCATCAGGACTGGTTAGCCAGCATCACCATCACGGGTCCCACCTTCCAGGGCTCCTTCCTGCTTCTCTTGCCTCTCTTCCTCTTTTCCACACTCCACTCACTCAACCTTAATTCTTTGCCTCTGGATCCCCCACTAGGAGTTTGAGTTGTGGGGAATCAAGCCTCCCTATTTCCCGTGCCTCCTGGCACACTGGGGAATGCTTCTGGGTACTGGAGATGACCTGCTGGTGTCCCTTTCCTGTCCTCTCATGTAAACCTAGTTAGCCTGTTGGCCCTCGTTCCTCCCATACTTGCGGCCCTCTGGGGCCAGTCTCCAACACAGGCATAGGCAGTCAGGTTTTCAGTATGGAAGAGAAGAGGTAATGGAAGACTGGGGCTGTTATCTGTACCGCTGCGACTCCATGACCTGTCCCCTGCCTTCCTCTAGATGTGGGGAAGGATGATGTGGATTAAATGTCTCAGTCACAAATCTTGGAGAAAAGTGGTCGTCCCCCCAGGGGGGGCCCTTTTGAAGAAAAGGAAAGGGAAGCAGAAAAAGGCAGGTCTTTTGTCTCCCTCAAGGGCCAGAGTCAGTGAAGGAAGAGTTGGCATTCTCAACCGGGCAGTGGTTTCCAGGAAGACCTATAGCTTCAGGGCTACCACCTCCCCGTCCCCCATCCTGCATCTCTCCTGGAGCTGGGAAGGGTGCCCATCAGGGACAAAAGGAGATGTGGGAACTAGGGCTCTAACCCTGTTAGCTGTCAAAGAGATTGGTGCCACTCTGATGCCCAGGACTCAGGCCAAGGGACTGCTGTTCAGCTTCCAGCCCTGTGCTGGGAAGGGCACTTAGTCTGTTTGGTCAGGAGAGGAAGCCGAGGAGTTAGTCGTTGGAGTCTAGCGTTTCTCTCTCGTCTCCATTCCAGACAGCTGTCGCCATGCCCCACTCATACCCAGCTCTTTCTGCTGAGCAGAAGAAGGAGCTGTCTGATATTGCCCTCCGGATCGTGGCCCCGGGCAAAGGCATTCTGGCTGCAGATGAGTCCGTAGGTAAGTGAGAGCCTGTGGGCAGGGTTGAGGAAAGGTTGCCAGCCAAAGAACAAGGCTGTCTTCCCTTTGCTTGCTTCTAGGCAGCATGGCCAAAAGGCTGAGCCAAATTGGGGTAGAGAATACTGAGGAGAATCGCCGGCTGTACCGCCAGGTCCTATTCAGCGCTGATGACCGTGTGAAAAAGTGTATCGGCGGCGTCATCTTCTTCCATGAGACACTCTATCAGAAAGATGATAATGGGGTCCCCTTTGTCCGGACCATCCAGGATAAGGGCATTCTTGTAGGCATCAAGGTATATAGCCCCTGGCCCTGCCTGGGAACTGGTGTATGTAGGAGGGGTGGCAAGGCCAGCCCTCGACTTCCGTTTTCTTTGCAGGTTGACAAGGGTGTAGTGCCTCTAGCTGGGACCGATGGGGAAACCACTACTCAAGGTATGTGGTGGGCAGGTGTGAAGTCCACAGAGGTTTGACATGGTTGACACTGGCAAGATGGGGGCAGGGTGATGAAGCTGGCACTGTGCTTCCAGGGCTGGATGGACTCTTGGAACGCTGTGCTCAGTATAAGAAGGATGGTGCCGATTTTGCCAAATGGCGCTGTGTCCTGAAGATCAGTGATCGCACACCCTCAGCACTGGCCATTCTGGAGAATGCCAACGTGCTGGCCCGCTATGCCAGCATCTGCCAGCAGGTGTGGGCTGGGGTTTGGGTGGGTGGACGAATGCCCCATGCCTGGCGGAGGTATGCTTTCATGGCTTTCTCCCGTCCCATCTTCTGCTTCTCCCAACTAACCCTGCTCTTGCTTGCAGAATGGCATCGTGCCTATTGTGGAGCCTGAGATCCTGCCTGACGGAGACCATGACCTCAAACGTTGCCAGTATGTTACAGAGAAGGTAATGCTCAGCTGAGCTCAGACATGTCAGGGACAGCCATCAGGGGTGCCTGGACCCCGTTCCTGCATCTTAGATCCAGGCACACTCTCACTTAGGGCTCTTTGCTGACTCCAAAACAGGCTTCAGAGAATGAGCCTGTACATGCTGTAACCACCCACCCCTGGATGGGGAGAGCATAGCAGACTGAACAGTGGTCCCAGCCCTACATAAACCTCCTCTGATTCCCAGGTCCTGGCTGCTGTGTACAAGGCCCTCAGTGATCATCATGTATACCTGGAAGGGACTCTGCTCAAGCCCAACATGGTGACCCCTGGCCATGCCTGTCCCATCAAGTATAGCCCAGAAGAGATCGCCATGGCTACCGTCACTGCCCTGCGTCGGACTGTGCCCCCAGCTGTCCCAGGTACAGAATTGCTATTACTCCAGGTCCGACTTCAGGTTTTTCTGTGGCACAGGGATCCTTTACCCTGGAAAAAGTGTAGGATGATCAGTCAGTGTGTCTTCTCCCTCTACAGGAGTGACTTTCCTGTCCGGGGGTCAGAGCGAAGAGGAGGCGTCCCTCAACCTCAATGCCATCAATCGCTGCCCGCTTCCCCGGCCCTGGGCCCTCACCTTCTCCTATGGACGTGCCCTGCAGGCATCGGCACTCAATGCCTGGAGAGGACAAAGGGACAATGCGGGGGCTGCTACTGAGGAGTTTATCAAACGGGCAGAGGTAGGGAGCTAGAGGTGACGACTGGGGAGCAGTGTAGCACCCGGAGGTCCCAAACTGGGCAGGGTTCCACACCTGTGGTCTGGCTCAGCCTGCTCACCTGTCCCCCGTTCTCTTTTGCAGATGAACGGGCTGGCGGCCCAGGGCAGATACGAAGGCAGTGGAGATGGTGGAGCGGCAGCCCAGTCCCTCTACGTCGCCAACCACGCCTACTGAGGCGCGCCTGCCCAGCCCACAGCCCTTGGCCTAGTCACGCGCACCCTGTAGTCACAGCCAGGGCCCAACAGCCACGCAGAGCAGAGAAGTCTTCATCCAGCACCAACTCATCTTTTCCTCTCCTCTCTTTCTGTCTCGCATTGATGCACCCGAAACCATGGAATGGGAGGGCAGGGAGGCCCCCCAAGTCTGGGGGCAGGGGGACTTTTCTAGAAGTCAGAACAGAACGTGTGGGTCTTTCCCCTGGCTCCCTCAGTCCTTACAGTTTTCCCATGATGGTGTAGCTTGCCCTTAGGCTCTCTCTTGGGATCAGGGGGAAGTGCACCAGCCCTGACTCATACCCCGAGTACACAGCAAATAAATGGGAGCAAAACACACCTCTCTGTCTGTTGCACACATCGAAGTCCTGTCTCCCTGTGTGTGATCGGCCAATCCTATCTCAGTGCCCTCTGACTATGGTGGTGGAGCGGTGAGATCTGAGTTTTACTCGGCTCACGTGGTTCACCATCCCCGGTTCAGGCTCCTACCTGCTGATCTCTAAAGCTGGAGTGGAGCTGTAAGAGGGTGTAATGGGGGCGACAAGTCTTCCAGGGACTGCCACATCAAAGGCACCGGACTGCAGTTCCAGCACGACGAGCAACAGAAGCAGATACCCCCTGAAACAGATTTTGGGCAGGACTCAAAGCAGGGAGTCAGCCAGATGAGCAGGGATGAGAGTGGGCCAGTTCTCTCTCATTTCAGCATTGCTGATTCCTGCTGGGGCCCGACACATTTAGGGAGAAATGTGCACTTGGGCGCTTTCCAATAAGAAAACCTTCCAAGACCCTGGGCTGCCAGAGCTTGCCAAGGGTGATCGCCCACTTCCATGTAGAGAAGGGATTCATTTGAGAATCTGGGCAACGTTGGAACTGGTAGGGCTTTGTGCTGAATGCTGATCTCTGGGCTAGAGTGTGAGGTAGGGTGACACTAGACTGGCTGTGTCCTGTGAACTGGAGAAATCATTGCTGCTCTGCTCTGTGTGGCCTGACCTTATAACAAAAGAACAGCTAACTCGGCAGTTTCTGTGATTCTGCCAGGCGATGTTCCTCTACCGCTATGATCTGTATTAAGACAGCTCTGTAAAGCAGTGAATAGTCTTTCTCATAGGCAGAAGCCGGCTCAGAGAGCTGCTGTTCAGGTAATAAATGAAGCCAGGATGTGAACTGGAGTCATTAGAATATAGAATCTACGTTAAAGACATTTCAATGAAGCATCCTGACTTTTCCAAATTGGAACCGATTTTTAAATTCTAGAAGCTGGATGTGGTGACCTGTGCCTATAGTCTCAGCTACTTGGGATGCTGAGACACTGGGGACAGGATCACTTTGTCCTTTTGGGTCATGTAGGGAAATCTGTCTCAAAACTAACTAAATCAGTTAAAATTAATCCCAGAGTAGCCAATCATGCTAAAAAGTTACGGTTTTGTCAGTTCCGTCTTTAAGCTTTGAAGAGCTGGTGTCCTGAAGAGAGGCCCTATGCTAGGGATGACATTAGAAAGCTTTTCGGGAGTCAAGCTCTTGATAAGCTTGGCTTCACTGAAATAAATATTCTCCTTCCGCTGGGGGGGGGGGTGGTGGTGCGGGGGTGCGGTGCATGCTCGTAATCCCCTGCACTGGAGAGGCTGAGGCAGGGGGCTTGCCCAGAGTCGGAGGGCCAGCCTGGGCTACTTAGCGAGCAAGTCTTGCCTTCTCTCTGAGCTGGCGCTGTGGAGCTACGCAGTGCCGGGCGCGTTCCCGGGAAAGCGAGGTTCAGATCAAGCGTCCTGCCCGGCGGATACCCGCTCACGGGCTCTGCCTGCGCACTCGTGTGCGTCTGCAGTGTCGCTCGCAATTGGCAGCGGTCGGGCACCGTGGTCCCGCCCCTTCATGCTGAGGTTTCCTATTGGAGGAAACTCACGAGGCCCCGCCCCTCGGCGACCTGGGCAGCCGGAAGCGAGTATGGCGGCCGCGGGGGCCGCGGCTACGGACCTAGGTGCGGTGGGTTTCGGGTGGAGGGCGCGGCGGGGAGGTCTCGCGGGCGGAATGTCTGGGTGGGGCGCGAGAAGCCAGACAGGTCCCTCCAGGCTGGGTTCGGGGGCACGCCACGCGGGAGCGGCTCGCACGGAGAGTCCCGGCAGCTCGCACTTGTCTGCGATCGCCGTGTGGCGGGCACGCACCCTGGTTCCCGAGCCTCAGTCCGCCCCTTGTGCCCTCAGAGGTGGTCCGGGGCAAGCGCTCCGCGCTGTTCTTCGCCGCGGTGGCCATCCTGCTGGGACTGCCGCTCTGGTGGAAGACCACGGAGACCTACCGAGCCCCGTTGCCTTACTCCGAGATCAGTGGGCTGAATGCCCTGCAGGTGAGACTTGAGTGAGGAAGACGAGGGTGGTGGGGGGCCGCCCACCGCAAGGTGCAGACGTCGCTCAAGGCCCCCCAATGCCCTCCTCCGCGCAGCTCCGGCTCATGGTGCCAGTCACAGTTGTGTTTACTCGGGACTCTGTGCCCCTGGACGACCAGGAGAAGCTACCCTTCACCGTTGTGCATGAGAGAGAGATCCCTCTGAAATGTGAGTTCCCTTGAGAGAGGGTGTCAGGGCTGAGCCAGACCCAAATCTCAGAGCTGGATTCCATAGGAGGAGCGTGGGCGTGTTATAACTTACTTTAGAATGTTTTATTGCAGTGTGTGTGTGTGTGTGTGTGTGTGTGTGTGTGTGTGTAGGTCAGAGGACAATATGTGGAAGTCATTTCTCCTTCTACCTCATGGGTCCTGGGGAATCTAATTCAGGTCATCAGGCTTGGCAGCAAATACCTTTACTCACTGAGCCATCTCCCTGCCTTCGGCCCCCTAAAAGGTCTTTTTTGGAATGAACAACAGTGTGTTTATTTAGGAAGGGAGAGATAGCCTTAAGTTCAGTGTCGTCATGGTAATTTAATTCATAAGGTAAGTTCTGCTACCGTATCAGTAGCAGTTGATACCCGTCAGTGTATAGAGAAAGCAGGATGTACCTGGAAGAACCCTGAGTCTGGTTACACCGGCTCCTATCCAGACCCGTGTCATTCTAACCTCATGCATTTTGTTGTTAGGCACTTTGTTAGGTACCAAGAACTTGAGGATGAATAATAAATTGGTAATGTTTTCAAGACGTGTATCGTCACACCAGGGAGAAAGAAACAGGCAAAATGCTCCAAGGCTGGAGGTTTGGATTAGTGGTAGGGGCACAGGAGAGCCTGGATTCCCTCCTTACCCTGGATTCCCTCCTTACCCTGGATTCCCTCCTTACCCTGGATTCTCTCCTAACCTGCCGGAGAGGAAGGAAAGGTGGAGAGGGCTTTGATGGATAGCCTTTTTTTTTTTTTTTCCTTGAGAGACAGGTTTCTCTGTGCAGCACTGGCTGTTCTAGAACTCACCCAGTAGACCAGGCTGGCCTCGAACTCACAGAGATCGCCTGCCTCTGCCTCCCGAGTGCTGGGATCAAAGGCGTGCGCCACCACTGCCTGGCTTGAAGTTAGATTTTTAGGAACTGGACATATAGGGGTCAGATTAAATGGGCAGAGTGGAGAGCCTTCCAGACAGAAGGAATACTGTGAAGGGATAGGAAGATAACTGGTATCAGTCACGCTGTCTGCCAGAAGCCAGGCAGCTGCACAATTTGCCTCATTTAATCCCAGCAGAATGATTCTCATTTTATAAATGAAGAAACCAGGATTTATAGGATTTGTCTTGCTCCAAATCACACAGCTAGTAAACGTGAACTGGGATTAAATCCAGGTCTGATGGTTAGTGACACTCTTCCTGTCTTTCTCATGGAGGTATGAATGACTGAGTTGAGTAATCTGAACAGTTTTGCCTTGCTGAAATTCCAAGTAAAATATCAGGCATGGCTGGAGATACAGGCTGAACAGAGACCTTGAAGTACTGAGAGGCATGCACCACCACACGCGGCTGCAGGTTCAGTCTGTTAGGCAGAAGTCTTTACAGGAGCTGACAAGATGGCTCAGTGGGAAAAGGCACTGGTCACCAAGTCTGGTGATGTGAGTTTGATACCCTGAATCCACATGGTGGAGGTCAGAAGACAGCCTGCTGTTATCAGTTCTCTTCTGTCACCGAGTGGGACTCTGGGCTTGAACTGGGATTGTCAGTCCCTGCAATAGGTGCTTCTACCTGCAGAGACATCTTCCCCAAAGACAGGCTGGCCTTGAACTCCTGACCCTCCCAAATACTGAGATTACAGGTGCATGCCAGATCTCTGGAGGCAGAGCTAGGTGGATCTCTGAGTTCCAGGCCAACCTGGTCTACATTGCAAGTTTCAGGCTAGGCCAGGGCTCATAGTGAAACCTTGTCTCAACATAAAATGAAATGAAATGAGACATTAAAGACATCTAAATTACCTTAGTGTTCATTAAATCTCCATGCTTCACTCACATAGTCCTATCCATTGTCCTATATTTAATGCCTTTACAAAAGTTATTTATAATTTTATTTTTTTCCTTCTAGTTCATTCCTGTTTATTGAGACAGGGTGTCCTTGTCTATCTCTAGCTGGCCTCAGACTTGTGGCCATTCTCCAGCCTCAGCCTCTTGAATTCAGGGATTACAAATATGTCTGCTGTTGGTGGCTTTAGTTCCTCTGTCATATTGAGTAACTCAGATGCCATTACTTGTACAGCTGCTGGTTCGTGGATCATTTTGTGTGTGGTCATTCTGCTGAGCTGTTCCTAGCTCTAGTGGCTTTCAGATGGTTCTCTAAACACACACACACACACACACACACACAAATAAAAAAACCAAAAAAAAAAACTTAAACATTTTTTAGATTTTACTTATTTTTATTTTATTTGTATGTATGAGTATTTACCTGACAGTAGTCTGTGTACCATGTGTATTCAGAGAACAGAAGAGGGAATCGTTCCCTGCAACTGGAGTACACACAGTGTGGGTGCTGACAGCTGAACCCTGGTTCTCTAGAAGCTGAGCCATCTCTCTAGCCACTGGCCATTTTTGTGTGTGTGAAAAATAATTATAGCACTTCAAAAATAGCTATTTTGTTTCTTTTAATGTGTGTGTACGTACGTATGTGCGTGCGTGCGTGCGTGCGTGCGTGCGTGCGTGTGTGTTTGGCATGTGCATGCTTGTGTGTATGTGAGCATGTGAGCATGGATGTACATACATACAGGGAAACCTAAGGCCAGTGTCCGGTGTCTTCCTCTGTTGTTTCCCACCTTCGTTTTTTGAAGAAGCATTACTCACTGAACCTTGAGTTATCTTAGAATCCCTAAATCTCCAAGCGTTGCTCAGCAGACCTCTCCACATTGCCAGACCAGATGCTTTTACCAAGGTCCTTTATCATTTTACTTCTGTCTTCTA